TATTGTTCAGCACATGATGTCTGGAGGGCGTTGTGGAGGGCTGCTGCTTTCCTGAGCTGTGCTCAGTGTGGTTTCTGAAATGAGGAGGAGCCTCTGCTTGGGCCTTCCTTCTTTCAGCCCTGTCACTGAATACTGGTTCTGTAGCAGGAGTTCTCCTCACAAACAGGATTTTCCTTTTTTTTTTTTTTTTTTGAACTTTCCTGTACAAAATGAGAATGATCAAGAAACACGGGGAGATTGTTAATATACTGTTTGTAGGCAGATCTTGTCAGAAAGCTTGTAGCTATTGATGCATGTGTTACAAAGCTGGAAACAGCAACTGATTTGTTGTGTTCTGGTCTCATGTGTCACTAATCCTAGTTGAGAGATCTGCAGATTTCTGCTGTCTCACTTAACAATGCTTCACAGTGCTTGCAGAGGGTGTGAAGGCACGCTGTCCTAGGGTAAGCTTTTGTAGTAGTGATATTAGTGAAGTACATGTTTGCAGTAGACGAAGGAGGGTTTTCTTTTCTTTTTTTCTTTATGTTTGCAGTGATGGGATGGCCATCTCTTCCTTTGCACAGTTCGTTTTTGTGGTGCTTCTTCTCATTTGCTTACTCTGCTTATTTCCTCAGTTACCCAATTCCTTATTCGTGCTCCTGCTGCTTGAGCAGCAGCAATGCAGAACTTCTCCTGTGCTGTGTGTTTACTTTGTGCTGGCCAAGCAGTTGTGTTGGCCACGTAATTGATTGTTTTAGGGATCTGATCCATTAAAAAAACTCAACAACACGCAACTGGAGCATGGTGGCTTTCCAGCCAGGTCAGCTTCCCACTCTGCTTTACCATAGGGCTGTGCAGGCAGTTCCCAGCACGGCGGTGTGCTGGGGGCATGATGTGGGAAGCAGAGGAGAGGTGGCTGTTGGAATCAGTTTCTTCCATCAAAGAAATAGCACAGAATCACAGTCAGAAGTTTCCCCTTGGTTCCCAAGGATGTTTTCTATGCTGGTTAAGAGGAGCTGAATTTATTACGCGGAGGATGTCTTTGTCTAACTCAGAACACTGAGGAAATCACTACTGAAGTGTTCACTAAAAATGCCTCTGAGTTTGGTTAGAGTCAGTACCGATTTATATTCTAAAAAAACCAAACATGAATCACCTTACATTTTTTTTTCTCTTTTCCAAAAAATTAGCCTGCCTTTCTGCTGTAAATCAGCTTGACTCAGACATTGCTGTGTTGTATATAAGTCATGTTCATTTCAGCTGTTTCAAAAAACAAATATGTCACGTTTATCTGGGTGCAGATTTTCTATTAGGCTGTTGTGTAGTGAAGATGAAATAGTGTATTCCAGTGGTAGATGAGGCCTGGTTTGTGCTTTAAAAAAAAAAAAAAAAGAGAGAGAAAGCAAAGCTGAGTGGCTAAGCTCCAGCCAATAAATCTATATTTAATTTGCAGCATGAAAGGATGAAAACAAGTCAATCTTACGGTCAAAATTGATGTTTATTTACAATGGATTCATGTAATACACCTGATTAAGAAGTCTTTAACATCAGGTTTTGCAATAAACTCTGCTTTATTTGTTATGAAGTCAATGGGCTGTGACTTAGGTAGGAATCACTTCACTTGGCAGCAGTAGGAAAAGAAACTTCTATTGAAAAGTATCAGTGACAACTATGTTTTTTTTTTTCTCAAGACCCAAAACTTGGTGTAGGGATTCTCTACTCACGCTACTTCACTGCAGAAACCCTTTGAGAATGGCCCGTTACTCTAATTCTGCAGCTCAGTTCCATAATGACTGTAGAAATAGAGAAAGAAGCTGCTTCCAAGCAAAATTAGGAAGCAGTGTGCTTCCTGCAGCTCTGCTGGATTTTGTGCAGCTACTGCCCTGTTCCCCTTGGGCAGAGGTTTGGACTACAGGCTGCTGCTGCAGCAGGAGCAGCATCTGTGGCAATTGTCCTATAGTAATAGGAGAGTTACAGCAGTTTCTCCTCCTGAACAATTAAATTCTGCATAGAAGTTAAACCTTCTTGGAAGGGAAGCATAATTAAAATTTCTCTGGAGAAGAATTCTCATTAGATAATTATCTAATGACAGAGTTGCTGGGCAGTTTTGAAACATCTCTCATGGTGACAGAAATAAAGATTAGGAGATGTGGGTTCCTGTCCCAGCTCTGCTGCTCACTCCCTGCTGTGGCTGTGGTCGGCTCACTGGGGCTGTCAGGAGTGCATCCTCTGCCAGCCAGAGCTCTGCAGCTCCAGAGGTTTGTGTCTTCAGCCTGTCTGCCTCCTGCACTGTCACCATGGGTCTGCTGTGTGAGCAGCGTTGGCACTTTGCTGTGGTAGATCTGAACAAAACAGAGTTAGACCTGTGTGAGCTGCAGTTTTAATCTGTTTTAGTCACGCATCTGCAGCTGTAACTTCTTGAGGTTCTGATTTAGAAAATACATCTCTTGCTTGTAACCTGTTTGGTCTGTTTGAGCAGAGCTGTTCCCTGCTAAAAGTGGTCCTTGAGCAGGAGCTCAGATAGTGACCTAAAAGGAAAATAAAAGTACTGCAGTAAAAAATATCTGTGATTTTGGAGTGACTGACATTTTTCATTTATTTCAGTAACTTTGAGTGAGAAGCACAGAGATTGCCATTTACCACCACTGCAAGGCTACCCGTTGCTTTCTTTGCTTTTTCACTTTTCCCCCTGCTTTACATTCAGTCATTTTGAAATGGAGAATGTGACTTTCCAAAGTGAGAGAATCTGGCATTTTGTGAGCGCCAGACATGTTCTGAGATACATCTGTGTGCCTGCTCTTACTAATTTAGCACAGTGTTTCTCTAATTTGTAGAACAACTATATTGTGGCATCTTCTGTAGTGATTTACAAATAGTATGCCACAAATGCCATCTCCAAACTGCTTCTGCTGCAACATTTCTTTTTTTTTTAATTTTATGTCAGCGTTCAGCAGATACCTTGCTTTCATGTTGATATTCCTTTTCTCAGAGTTGTGAACAGCTCTTTCCTTGTATTTTTGGCATCCTGTATGTACACTTCTCCAGTCCTTTCCAATTTCTGCTCTTTCACCTCTCTCTTATCATTGCACGGCCTTCCACGCCATGGTGTGACTGCTGTGGCTGTGCTGCTCATCGGAGGAGCTTTGTTTTCCTTCAGGTCTCTCAGAACTCTTACCCCCTTCTTTCTTCTGCACCTCTTTCTTTCTGAAGTTGAAATGTTTCTCTACTAATGATGACTAATGCAGTAACTTGCAGGTTTGAAAGGATTTTTTTAATTATGTCTTTAAATGACGCTGTCCTAGATGTGAACATAGGTCATGTCTTGCATTAGAGAATTTTATGGGTGAGTGAAGATTCTTGCTTGCATCTATCATTTCTTGTTGTGCTCGCTGTTCGTCACCCCCATGGTTTGTTGGTATGGAAGTCGCTTCTGTTGGAGCTCTCTGAACTACCAGTTCTTATTAGAGATCAACCAAGCTCTGAGCCTGGTTTCACGAGTAGAACAATGCAACTGCAGAGGTAAATTCCTCACTGCCAGTGCTGGAACTGGTAATGCCCTTTCTGCCTCTTTTATCAGTTGTCCTTTCTCTTGGCGTCAGAAAACGAGGCCGTATACGACACAAATCATGTTTGTCAGTTCAAAGATAAACGTCTGACTCTCGTGCTGAGATTCATGACTTACCACACAGTCACTGGCGGGAACAACTTGACAGTTCCAAGTTTAATTGCTGGTTTGCACCCTATGGTAGAGGTTTTTAGTTTGTATATTAGTCATTATCTTGGACTGTTATCTGAACTATGTGTCTCTCTTGTTGTCTCTTGCTATCACCTGCTTCTCCAGGCCAGAATACAGGAGCTGGCAAAGGCTCTGTGAGTCATGTAGCCCCAGGAAAGGCTCTAGTGAAGATAGGCGAGAGTGACCTAGATATAAGCCCTTGTGTTACGGACACATCACCGCCTTCCCGCATGACTTGGTTTGGGTTCTGTTTATTCCTTGCCAGCACCAAAACTAAGTTTCCACCGCTGCAGCTGAAGCCTGCTTCTATTCTTCCTTACCCTTCAGATTACTTCTCATTGGAAACATTCTTTATACTGGAAGATGTGCTAGCATTTCCTGAGTTTCCTCTGCCTTAGGCTGTCACCTCACTTTGTTTGCTCTTTGCTGGTTATTGTTCAGCCTTGTACTATAACTCATGTTTTCTGTTATACATCATGTTACTTTATACGTCACGTTTCAGTTTAATACCTGCATTCCATGTTTCAGTTTAATATCTGCATTCCTCTCTGCTTGCAGAGGCAACTGATGAAAATCCTGAGTGTTAGACATGAAGCAAGGCTTTGCTTCCAAAGGGCAACACTCAGATTTGCTGTTTTGACTGAAAACTATTGCAAAGTGTTTCTGAGTAAAATTTGTGTGTTTGCTTTCACTGTTGCTGTCATTAATGTGTGAATCAGTGGTAGAGTCAATTTTGAGATTAGCCTACCTGTATTTGGAGATTGAATTTGCTGGTGAAAAACTCTGAGGTCTAGTCAGGCATGTATGGTTTCATTTTTAAGCTGATGAGAACTCGTACAAAAGACAGTTATCACAGCATAGTAGTATGACCTGTTTGTTTTGTCTTTTCTTTTGATCTATTGGAGCTACTGTGGGCACAGCCGTGATTTTTTTTTTTCCATAGTTCACATATTTTCATCTCCATTTCTGCTGCTTTTCTCCTTCAGTTTTCGTGAGACTTTCTTGAGCCTTAAAATTTATTTTTCTTTCGTTTTCCAGAATGAGTGCACAACTGCAAAAATTGGATTTTTTTAAATTCAGCTTCTGTAAATTCTCTTGACGCGGCAGACTTGAATTTCCAGGTTAATTTTATTTCTGATTCAAAAGTCAGCGTTCTAAATCTGTTCCTTCATAGCTAAGTATCAGTTTTGAGCACAATGCTGGCAGATGTATGTATTTTTTTAAACAACAGATAATAAAAGTAGTCTTTCCTGACCATCTTTTTTTTTTTCATTTTGTGTTCTAGGGTTTTGACCCACCGCATCAAAGCGATACACGAACTATTTATATAGCAAATCGTTTTCCCCAGCATGGCCATTATATTCCTCAGAAGTTTGCAGACAACAGAATCATATCATCCAAGGTAAGGGAAAATACTTGGTATGTTCCATCACTCTCTTCCCAGAGCCTATGTCTAGAATGATGTTGGTCAGGCAGGCCTTTTAAAGTGGCTTTTAAGCTAGTTTAGCCCATGTCTGGATGTGGTTTAATAGGAAGGGTGAAGGGTTTTTTATGTGAGGATTTATAAAATTGCTATATCATAAGCAAGGAGCTGCAATTGCAGGTTCCCTCCTGGTGTGGCCTTGGATAGGAATCAACAGAACTGATAGGATGGGGGGGGTGTTTTGTCATTGAAGTGTAGGAGAGAAAGGATATAGCTGCAAGAATAAATCTGTTCTCCGGTAGCCTGGCTACAAGAAGCTAGATAAGTCTTGTTGCTCCTATCCAAATTGGCATGAGAACAGTTAAAACGTTGTCTGTAAAGGCAACGCAGTTGCTACTCCTGCTTTCCTTCTAGATGCCCTTCATGGGCCCATGAGATTGGATACAGCTGTTCTTTTTGGGAGTAGGGCACTGCCAAGACGCAGTTTGGGGAGGGCAGATGGAAAATAGGGAGTTAAGGGAGTTTGAAGGGAGAGAAAATGAATTCCACTGTTCAGCATGTTGTAACTGTTCTTTTTTTTTTTTGCCTTCAGTATACAGTGTGGAATTTTGTTCCAAAAAACTTATTTGAACAGTTCAGAAGAATAGCCAACTTTTATTTTCTGATAATATTTTTGGTTCAGGTAAGTGAATAATACTCAGTTTAGCCATAGAAATAAAGATGGTAATTGCCGTTTGTGTTGTGGATTCTGCCGCTCACTTTCCATTCTATGAATTTAACTTCTCAGTTTACTGTAAAAACAATACATTTCCAGCTTTGCTGGTAAAGTTTGAAGTTTGCTTTCTTCAAATTGGACAGTGTTGCACATTCTTGTTCTGTATGGAATCTTACTTTTGTATATCAATACAAGGTTGTCATGCAGTTCTAAATTCCTCAAATTCACATAAAAGGAGCACACAGAATTTACAGCTAAGGCTGACAGTTTATCAGATTTGAAGGTATCAGAGCTGCCAGTAAAGTATAGGTCAAAAATATCACTGTGGCTTTTGTAGCCAGATATATTTCTTTTAATTAAGAACATCTACGAGTGTATTGAAGGGATTAGTCTGTAAATTTACTGTGATATTTGTACCTCCTGCTCTGTAATTGTATTTAAATTCTCTAGAGCTATTGCAGACTTAGATGAAGGATAAGTGAGAGATGGTAGGGAGAGAGATTACCATTTGAAAGACTCGGTTCATATCTAAGAGACAGGATTTTGGGTTACATAAACTTTTCTTTCAGTGTGAAGTAAAATACTTGACATGTGTACAACCCTCCATGGTGATTGACCATAATTACACTACATATGTACATATTACATTACATTATGCACCTGTAAAAGGTGGTGCCTCATGACAAAAACAGGAGTACTGAAGTGCTCATAAGATTTGGCTGTGTCATGTATAAGTAGCACAGATAGTTGTGCATTTGTTAATCCATTGCCTCTTGTGTCCCATGATCTTTTTCTTTCACATTTAAAAAGAATGAACTTTGTAATAGGCTGAAAATTCTTGTGTTAGGAATTGCTAAAATCATACTGTTGTGGCTTCCTGTTCTGTTGTCATAGTTAGGACTATTGACTTTGTCCTTCCTGTTGTGTTGTTCCATACTGATTAGTGGATCATAGCACAAGAAAGATGGGAGCATGCCAGAGAGAGAATGTAAATGCTACTTACGGTTACCACAAAGTGTTGCTTTTTTCAAGCTTTTGTTTCTTCCTAATGCAAATTTACTTACGTAATTCAATTTCAATCACTTTTCTTTCAAACTATTAGTTTAGACTTAAGTAATGTCTAAACACAATGTCCATGAACCGATGTGAACCTAAAGGCAGAACTTCTATTCAGAGTGTTATCTTATTCTTCTCTTAATTCATGACTTGAATGAAGACCCTAATTTGTATGTCTTGTGTTATGTGTCTTTGTTCTTGGAAACATAATAGGAATAAAGCTGCAGTCATTTTTGTTCTTCGTTGCTGTTTTTCTATTGAACAGAATTTTGTTTTTATTCAAATCTCATCTAGAATTTCAATTAATGCATTATACTTTTCTTTTTACAAGGCAAAGATGCCTTTAACATTTGATCACCATGGTATCTTTTCTGTAGTATGAATCTTGTGTCACCACAATGCAGTGTCTGTCAATGCCACTTTATTCCACTGGGGATGACAGGGCTGGGGCAAGTTCTTATTTATAAATGTGTAGTACAATCCGATCCACACTGTCCACCTCACATATGCATGCCAGAAACATAGTGGCAGACTGCATTTTGGTTGCGTGATGCTCTGACCAGTTGTATAATGGATGTGTGTCCACCTTGTAGCAGGCACTGGTCTGTGGCATTCTGGTGAAATAAGAAAAGGAGCAATATGCCATGGTGATTCCACCAGTAGAAAACTTGCCCCCCTTTAACATGTGAGCCCATCTTGAGAAAGAAGAAGAGATTGCAAATGGCAGAAATGTCATAGTTACGCTTATCCAGCCATAACTAGAGGCTCCTGGCAGGGGCTGTCTGGGACAGGGTGCTGCTGGGCTGGAATTGTAATGCTGCAGTTGAAGAACACGCGATACTGCAAGCTAGCTCTGATTTTGTTGTGTTTTCAAAGTTGTCTGCATCTCAAATAAATAAATAGTGCACGTGTTGCAATGTCATAAGCTGTTTTCTCTGTGGCTCTTGGCTCTTAATAGAGTAAACTTCACATGTGATTTTCTTTTTCTTCTTTAATGGTTCCCAAAGCAATGCCATAAGTCTCAGGTAAAGTGAATCAAATCAATGTCTGTGGTTTTGAATAGCCCTCTTGTGTATATTTTCTTTGCAGCACTTGACCATGATGTTTTTTCCTGCAGCAGAGAAGAGCCACCAGCATACCACTTCCCCCCCACGCACACATTTTAGTGTATACACTGCACTTTGGCATGAAAGCAATGATAGCACAAATTGTGAAATGCGCATGTTGGAGGAACCAAAAAGGAGCAGTCTAAGAAAAGGGCTTCTTTAATATCTGAACTGCTGGCAACTGCTGTTTTTAACTTCATTTTCACTTCTGAAGTGTTTGTTATGTTCTGTGCTGTTGTAAAGCAGTTGATTGTATAGAATGGTGAAACTGCGTAGCAAAATGTAGATTTGACTTCATCAGGTGAAAATATATATTTTAGCAATGAGTCATAAGATTGGCACGTGCATTACAGATGTGATTAAGTCTGTTCTGTGGCCTAGCACCTTTGTACCAATCTTGACATCTGTTTAGATGTCAGGAATTGACTTTTGTTCAAGACTAAAGGACGTGCAGTAAAATCCCTATAGAACTTGAAAAAACACTTGCCATGGGTTTGGGTTTTTTTTTTTAGTACAATTGTAAAATCAAATTGGGGCTAATTTTTACATTTTCTTCTCTTTTAGCTCATGATAGATACCCCTACCAGTCCTATTACGAGTGGATTGCCATTGTTCTTTGTCATAACTGTGACAGCCATAAAGCAGGTAAAGGGGAAAAAATCCTGTAGCATGGATCTTGTATTTTTAAGGTGAAGTTAATTAACAAAGTGTGACCAAGATAATGTTTAGAAACAACAACAATTAAAAAGTGATGTCTTCAGAAATATTTTGTGTATTTTATGTTTCTTGTTAGACACTTTGTCATTTTGCTTAGTTGTCAAGCTCTCACTGACTCACCGTAGTACCCTTAAATGGACAGTGAATGACTGTCAGACAGCATTTTTGTCTCAGCATTACATGTCACTTGTTATAAGGACTTTTTGGAAAGCCCTTTGCTTATTCCTTTGGCACACCTCGCTACATATTAAAATGAATCCTTCTCTATAACTGTGAGAAAGGAGCTTGGGTATGTGGTGCAACCCATGTATGTCAGTAGTTAAAAGGCAAATTTTGCTCCAAGGGATATGTTTCATGGCATGAAATATACATTAACTATAATCCTATACCAGGTAAAAGATACCATTTGGGAAGCTTCTGCTTTTTTTTTTTCTCAGTTGCATAAAACATTTTGGAATACTTTATAGCACTTGAAATAAGAAAAATCTTCTGAGTTGGGTAGGAATCTTCTTTAAGCTGGACTGGATCCTGGTAAGACCTACAAACCCTTTAAGGCTAACGTAGAAAAAGAATCTTCTGCTTTCTTCTAACCCTTAAGGTGAGAGGAGAAAGAAACAAGCATTGAAATAAAGTGGTGTTGTGGCTAGAAACTATAGTTGTTTTTGCAGACAGATAGTTATCAGGAGCTAGCCCCTTCTGAGGGTTAGACAGTGCTGACTTGAGAAGACATTCAGTCATAGCAACTGAAAATTAAGCAGGAGAATTTTTTGGAGTTGAAGTTGGAATGTCCATTTGCCTCTTGTGACAGCAAGACCCAAAACCACCCTGAAGTAGGCTAAAATAAAAATAGCTCTGGTTTTCAGTCAGATTGGTGTTTGGGGCAGAGGGGAACTTGCTGCTGTAGAAATCTCTGAATTGCCATTTGGTTTGTTGCTGTGCAGTTAATATATGCAGAACCCTAACCCAATTCAGCTGCTGTGCTAATGCCAAAAAATGTATTCAGGAGCTATCATTGTAGAAAATGTTTTTCAAAGCTGTACAAGATGAAGCAGACGTTGAAAGTTGGTTACAAATATTAGGGTGGTTTGTATTTTTTTGGAAAAACTTTTTAAAAGTCCAGTATAGTCCAAGATGATCTATTGCCTTCTTGTTTCCCAATGTCCAGTCTTACATTGGGAAGTTTAAGTATTTTACCATCACCTGAAAAGAACAGAGATTCTGAAATTCATTCTGGAAAATTCAAATCGTATGAGAGTTGGTGAGCATTATGAGTTTTTTCTGACCATTTCAGATTTATTTTCAAAGGCTATTGGAACCGCTGAATCTGATCTGATGAACTCTTGTGTTTATTCTACCTGCTACAAAGTGGGCAAACAATATTCACAAGCTCTTATCTTGGAAAGACAATTCAGTGTACTCTTTCCAACAGACTGCCCTTGAACAGAAGGAAATATAAATCTTCTTTTGGAATGCAGAGGAAAACACCCTGTGTGGTCTCCAAACCAGTTCCCATTTTCTCTCCACCAGAAGTGGAATAGGAAGAAGTTTCTAGCAGAACTTCAGGGTACAAATTACATGGGATAAATGTTTAACTGTAATTCAGTGGTCTTTCCAAAGATAAAAAGGAAATGAGAGGCGTTATCTGTATTTGTGTTTGAGAAGTTCAGCAGCAGATGGAAAAGCTCTACCATGTTTTCATAAGGCCTGTTAACTTGGTATCCCTATCAAACCTCAGAACTTCACTGTATTTTAATCTCAGCCAAGGAGATGGAACCTTTTCTTATCAGAAGTGCAATTGCACCTAGGTCAGAAGAAGGACGTAAAGACTGCAAAATGATGCAACTCATGCTGTGTCATTTTGTCAAACTTGTTAGTTTGGAACACTTTCCTCCTCCTGCCTCTGAAGATTCTTACGCAGTCCACAGAGGAATCAAAAATAACAAAGTCAAGAAAAACAGAACAACAGATTTTTTATTTTTTTATTTTGTGAAGATAACATTTTCTAAAGAACTTTAGGGAACTTGATGCGTTTCAGTAAGTTCTTAAGTATTTAGCAAAGAAGTTTATTGGACACATGGATGTTTACATGATTGCCATATGAATGAGAAGTAAATGCTTTGCAGAATTTGGTTAAATATGCAAGTAAACTGAGAATGAAAACCATGCAATGCGGTTTGCAGGCTGCTTTAAATTTGTTCTTGCCTAAAGTACACAGATGCTCTTCTATTAGGAGGAATTAAAGATATAATCAGAGTGATTTTTATCTGTTTTCTGTTCATGCAATTAAGAACTTTAACAGTGCTCCTGCATCTTTCTTTTGATAGTATTTTTTGCACCATTTTCAAGTGAGGATAAGGTACTCAAAAATGCTGCAGTGGGTAAACTTTGGGGGCACTTACGCTGGCCGTAGGAAGTTGGCTCTTAAGAATTCCCTGGTGTGAGGTATCACCATTGTGTTGCAGGCAGTAGGTGTCAGATGGGGAAAGCGCTGAAATCTGTATTTTCTGAAGAAGGTAAATTTCTGTTCTCTGCCAAATGCCCATATTGCTCAGCTGTTCAGATTTATGAGACAAACATCCCAAGGTTACTTGTTTTTCCTTGAGTTCTTGTTTTCTTCTGTCAGTCACCTTTAACAAGGATCTGTAGGTACTGACTTTTGAAGTTTTTCATCCTAACTAGAAAAGAGCCTTGGAGAGTTACAGGATTCTAATTTCCCAATATCACTGTGTGGCTTCTGTTGTGACATTTTAATAATTTTTAAGCATTTAGCGTGTAAAATAAGTAAAATTTTCCCCTTTTTTGGTAGTAACCTAGGTAGTTTTGTACTTGCTGCTTTCATTTATGCTAGTGACAGTGTGGTTGCATGAAGGTAAAACTGCAGAACTATGCTTGAGCATGTGGAATTCATCAAATAATTTCCTTTCAAATGCAAGTCAAGTCTCAGAGTTCTCAGCTGCGTCTGGTTAATAGCCTTTGTGTTATGACATTTATACAACTTCTGTAGCATAATAGGAGGAGTTGGGATTATGAATGCTGTTTCAGGGGATCCTCTTTTTCTGTTTGCAAGTTTCCGTGAAGTGGTTTTCGCTCTTTTTCATGTTATTTTACACATAGAAGCATTCTAGGAAATGTCTCTGCTATTGCAAATCAGTCATGGAAGTCTTGCCAGCATGTATGAGGTGGTGGAGAATTTTTTGATCCTCTGTGGTTTTACCAGAAGCTCATGAATTCTGAGGATTCTTAAGAATCATCATTTGTTCCTTAATGCATAATATTTTATGGTAGCTGAGTCACTTCATTCTATGTATTAATGTAAGTTTATGAATCAGCTGCCAGAAAATGTCTTTTCTATACTGAATAAGCTTTTTTCTAATTCCTAATTGACATCTTACGTACTCTTCCTGTGAGCCTGCTTTTATTATTGGAGTTGAATGCATGCATGCATTCATCTCTTGCTTATTTGACTAGGTTTAGTGAGCAAGAGGCAGAACTTAAAGCTATTCAGTAATACTTGCTTACCTTTTTATATATGGGCACTGTTTTTGTTTTTTGTTTTTTTTTTTTTTAGAAAGATATATTACAGCTGAACTGCTTGCATAGACAGGTTGATTTCTTGTACTCACTTGTAGCACTTACCAGGCAGTACTAAGACTTGCAGGTCAGAGATCATGCTATTGGTCATCATGATTTTAGGTTGAGTAAGCAATGTATTAATTTCTTATGAAAGCAGGACAGGAAAAGTGCACCTGGATTCACTCTCATGAATGTTTGCACACGTGCACAGGATAAAGGATGCTTAAAGAGACGCCAAGTGTCTTGTAAAGAAATACTGCTTAATTTATGTATTAAAAATTCATCAGCATATAATACAAAATAGAGAAACTAGGAGTGACTGTTCCCTGTTTTGAGGTATATTAATCCATACAGATCTCAGACTAAATGAGTGCTTGTTGATCCCATCCATACAAAATGCCAGTTTGTTTTATTGAAACACAGGACAGTTATGTTTCCTCAGCACTTTTGCTACTTGAGTAAAGTAAATGGTTTCTCAGGTTCTTGAGTAATAGCCGTGGTTGATAACTGTAGAGAAATAAGTAACTCCACGTAAGGCTGTGCAAGTTTGTTTGAAGCATGTTTACTTAAAAGAGGTGATGCTTCACAAGCTTATTCCTTGGAAAATAAATGTGTGTTTTCACAGGGTTATGAAGACTGGCTACGACATAAAGCAGACAATGAAGTAAACGGTGCTCCGGTTTATGTTGTTCGAAGTGGTGGCCTTGTAAAAACTAGATCTAAAAACATTCGGGTATGTGCCTAAAGACAGAGTGAAACTGTTCAAAAAAACACCAAAAACCAACAACTGAAGATCTTGTTTCATTATTAATCATTGTTTCATGGTGATTCATGATGTTCATGATGATTCAAGAACAGTTCTAAATTTCCATCTTCTTTTCTAAAACTTTTTTTGTATACTTCTCATTTATCTTCATTTCATTAGGTGGGAGACATTGTCAGAGTAGCCAAAGATGAGACTTTTCCTGTTGATCTGGTGCTTTTATCTTCTGATCGAGTGGACGGTTCATGCCATGTTACTACCGCAAGTTTGGATGGCGAGACTAATCTTAAGGTCTGGATTACTGTTATGAAGTAGAATGTAGCTAGTATGTAATGCCATTTCTTATTTTAGCCCAGGAATACCCTCTCTGATTTCTTTATCTGAAAGTTAATGGATGGTGTTTTCCAGACACATGTTGCGGTCCCAGAAACAGCAGTGTTGCAGTCTGTTGCCAACCTGGACAAACTTGTAGCTGTCATAGAATGCCAGCAGCCAGAGGCAGATCTATACAGGTATAATTAATTTTGACTTTGTTTCAAAATACTTAATGACATGTTCACTGTTAGGAAAGAGGTGGATTTTGCTGGGTTTAAAGTAGTTTCAAACATCTGCTTGTATCTCAGGATTTAATAATGAGCGTAAGCGTTTATATATGTGATGAGTTGAATTGGAGTATTTCAATACTAATTGAGAAACTATAGCGTATTTTGAGTTTTAATTACAGCACTTATTTATGTACCTTTCTGTTCTAAACAGTAAACTTCTTCCCAAATTATTAAAAATTAAGTGGACAGCTAGTCCAGGCAAGTTGAAGAAATAAACTTGGATATAATTCTTCCAGGAGAATTTCAGTTCAGTACAGGGCTCCTTGCAAAAATTATTGCCAGTGTTGCCTTTGCCCTATTGTTCTCGTTTATTTGCACTGTTAAGACTGATTATTTTGTATTTGAGAAATGTTAATGATCTTTTTGTAGATGTGGAATGGCTGGGTGTTTATCTTATTTCATTTTGCACTTTTGAGATTTTATGTAGATGTATCTGACTCATGACCCTGTTTACCCTGTTTTGTAGATTTGTTGGAAGAATAACTATAAGCCAACAAATGGAGGAAATAGTACGGTAAGTAAAATGTTGTCAGATTAACGTTAAGAACATAGTGGTAATTAAACTGACCATCACAAAAAAAAAGTTACGGTTGAATAAACAACAGGGAAGGGTATTTTAAATTGAATATTTGGCACACAGATTATTTTCTACTGAGGGTAGTTTAGCGTGGCTGAGTCTGAAAAACAAGCTAAGGAAAAAGAGCAGTCAGCCAAACAACAAAAACATGAGTCAGACACTTCTCTTTTAAAGTGTGATCTTGTGTCATGATGCTAAGTGTGTCACAGAAATAAGCTAGTGCTACGATTCTTTCACTCTTTAATGTTTATAAATATTATACTTTTCTTGTAAAACTTCTACATGAATCAAATATGAAAGCAGTATTGATTTCCATTTAAGTTAATGCAGCCATTGGAATAAAGCATACAAAACTAACTTTGTATGAACTTTGCCTGTAACTGTGCCTTTATTTTCAAAGCACATTTTGCAGTTAGCTGATCAGATGAACGAATTATATTGACCTAATAGATGTGAAGGGAAAAAGCACATGTAAAATTTTGTCTTTTTGCCTTAGGAACCAGAATTTGCATGGTTATATTGTCCATCCATCTTTATTTTACTGATATGAATAATCTCTTTTGAACCTGGCAGAGAATTTCAGTTTGACAGATGGGTAGAAGTAAGGTAAAACAGATAAAGCTAAAATAACATTCCAGTAGCACTGTGGACTTGACAGGATTTTGGCATGTTGGCTCTTCACTTAACTTGCCTCTCTGTCTGAACCAGACATTTGGCACATTTAGCTCAGCTGCTAGTTGTGGGACTCTGGTGGGAGGATATTGGGGTGACTAAAGGAAGAAACTGAGAGCTCTGGAGATGAGAGGGGATTTACAGAACACATTTGACCTCTTTGCATAGGAAACTGGATGTCATTAGCCCCACAGAGTATGGAACAACTCATTTTTAAATGCTGATATGTCTATTTCTTTTTAGACCTCTGGGGCCTGAAAGTCTCTTACTTCGTGGAGCAAGATTAAAAAACACTAAAGAAATATTTGGTTTGTAGACTCTTCTTAAAGCATGTTGATGATCTGTGGTTTAATACTACTTGCAGTGAAGAGATTGTGATAATCTTCCTGGTGGTTACCTGAGGGCATATGATAATAGATGAAAGTAATGATATTACACTAAAGAATCTCAAAATGATACAGAGTTTCAACATCACTTTATGAAAATACTTCAAGTGGTTTGATAAAGGAGTAACTTTAATGGTTAAATGACTGATGTTACTGTTACGTTGTTCAAGACTTTCTCTTGAGATTCTGATTTCCGTAAAATACGTTTTGAAGAGCAGTAAGTAATAACGAACAGTATTTTAGTAAGTATTAAAATTATTTCAATATTACTGTTTTACTATAGTGAAGTATTGCAAATAATTACAAAATACTGTCTCACTGTTGTACTGAAGTAAATACAAAAATAGTAATCACATCTTGATTTTTAGTCTGTCTCTCTTAAACAAAATGCCACAAATTGCATACGTGCAGAAAGCAATATCCTTTCTCCTCTTAATTCCCAGGTGTTGCAGTGTATACAGGTATGGAGACAAAGATGGCATTAAATTACAAGAGTAAATCTCAGAAACGGTCAGCAGTAGAAAAGTATGTTTATTTTCTAATATCTTTTTTGCTTTTAGAATTGTTGTTTAGTCTTATTAACTTTAGTACCCTTGTGATCCCACTGTTAGGATGTAGGCAAAGGAAGAGGGGACAATTGGTTTACCTTCCTTCTGTGTTATTCTATCCTTTATTATTTCTTTAAGTAACACACAGACTTGTAATACCTGAGGTTAAAAAGGACAAAGGCAGGAAAAGTTATTGTAGGAGCAGAGAACACTTAGTGGTAAGTGAAATGCAGTCTTGAACAAGGTGCTTACAGAAGTATTCTTCATAGCAGTTGTAGCCTCTGCTGTCTCATTACTGTAAGGCTGCATCATGTCTTTAAATAGGATGAACTAAAATCTTAATTGCTTGCAGATCTTTGTCCTAAATGCTGGTATCTGATACAACAGGAATATGGTTTTGTTTTGGGTACCTGGATAAGCTATGTCCTTAAAGATATCTTCTGCATTGAATCTTGTTTTTAACTCAAGTTGTAGGCTCAGTTTTAAAAAAAAACTTTGTGTTTTAAATAGGTGATAAATGTTCCTGTAATAGAGATTTAATACATTGAACTCATTGAATTATTTTAAAAGAAAAAGGAGTTTTTGTGTGTTGCCTTTCTTGTTACGAAAAAAAAATACAAGAGAATGCATCATCACATTTTTTTGGAAATGTGAGATTGATTATTCTTCTGTAGTCAGATAGAAACCTGTTTGCTGCACAAGAAAAAATTCTGTCATGAAAGGGGTAGAAAAATATAACAGAATGTTATGTCTTTGTATAGCATACCTTGAGTTAAATAACTAGAGACAAGGAAGTGCTCTTCTAATTGAGGAGGAAGGTTCATCTTCGAATTTCCAGGGTAATTGTTTCTGCTGCCATCGCAGCCTCACTAGATATTTGGGAAAGAAAGGAATGTCTGGAAGAAGGCTGTCAGCCCTCAGAATTCTGGACAACAGGTGTAACACAAGTCAACTGAGAATGTATTCTTGCACCTTAATTAGTCCTCCAGTTGGCTGTATGTAGAGTGCACATTAGCCAGATGTTGGATTTCTTTTCTTTCCTATTGTTTTTTTTGTCACATAGAAACTTTGGGTCCATGTGAAACACAGGTTAAAAAACATCCGCTAACTTTTCTGATCAGGTCATATGTACATAGTGTATCAACAGATTCAGTGAAATAAACTGAAATTGAATCTTTTTTGGCCTTGTTCTAGGTCTATGAATTCCTTTTTGATAATTTATCTAATAATCCTCCTCTTTGAAGCCATTTTGAGTACTATTTTAAAGTATGCCTGGCAAGCCGAAGAAAAATGGGATGAACCTTGGTACAATGAAAAAACAGAACATGAAAGGAACAGCAGTAAGGTAATGTAGTTCTACCCAGTAGTTTATCTGAGAAACCTTCATCTACTAGGTGTTGAGTGCAATATTTATTGTCTCTTTCTTCTTGGAAGTACAGGTAGCTACCACATGATCCATGTGCAAGTATGTGTGCTCTTGTCTTGGTATTTTTGAAAGAGCTTTAGTCCTCTGTAGTGTGGCCCTTGCATAGAAAAATTTAATCTCTGAGATTGAAGGGATTCTTTGAAGTGTTCCTTAAATCGACAGTTCAGACTTGTAAAGTTTATTTTGTTTGTTTTTGAGTTTTGTTTTGTAATCATTCTGTATTTTCCTGTTTGATTTCTGATTTCTGTGTGAGTCAGACATATTCCAAAGCAGTTTAGAAGCTGGCTGGAGCTGATTCTAAGAAGTAGAGGGCATTTTTATATCACAGAAGTGTTAGAAATCCAGTTTCCACATATGACATGGTGTTAGGCATTTAACACTCCTTTTATTTCCCATGGAGTTGAGAATTGAATCTGCTCACCAGTTGCCTTTTGTGTTTAAAGGTTCAAGTCCCAAATTAGAAAGCTTTGTTCTGTTTCATAAGCAGAGCATAACTTAAAGTTAGTACATAATTGTTTGGAGAGCAGAATAGAAGGATTTGGAGAACTTATTTGATTCTTCCAGGGTAGTTAAAAATGTACCACCATCTATTAGAACAGACAGCTTCCTCAAACATGTAATGTGAACTATCTTTGTAGTTCAAATGGAAGAATATCTCAATACCATAAGCAGTTAGTTCTGGTTTTCAATACAGCTATCACAAACTTTTCAGTATTCTAAAATAGCCTTATCTACAGGTGTCACTGTTAAGGAGTACTAAAGAAATTCACAAATTTTCAAATTGTTTATTGACTTTTCTTTTTAGTACCTGCAACCACTTAGGGCACTTTCAATTGTTGAAGTGGTCAGTTGAGTAAATTTTTTTATTTTTTTTTTTACCTCTTCTTAATCTGAAGTATCTGCTGTATAAATGACAGTAACCTCTGGAATGTTTTTAGATCAGAAGAAAATGGGCTATATATTTATTCTATTTCATTTAAGCGAGGAATTTGGTCTCTTCTTGCTCTTGTAACATACATTTTTTTTCATACATACTTGGAAAAAAAAAACCCAAACTAGTCAACCATGTTTGACCTGTTCACTGCATTAATCTTTATATTTTTTTCTTTTCTCTCATAGATTCTCAGATTTATTTCAGATTTCCTTGCTTTTCTGGTACTTTACAATTTTATTATACCCATTTCACTTTATGTAACTGTTGAGATGCAGAAGTTTCTTGGATCTTTTTTTATTGGCTGGGATCTTGACCTCTATCATGAAGAGACAAATCAGAGAGCCCAAGTAAATACTTCAGACCTCAATGAGGAACTGGGACAGGTAGAACTTCTTCTGTTTAACTTCATTTCTACATCTTTTTTAATAGTAAAGTTTACTATTACAGACTTTTTATTGACAGTGCTTTGATATCTGATTAGTTGAAAATAAGATTCAAACGTGATTTTATGGCCAAAATTGGAATTACTTCATGATCAAAAAAGATGGGTAATGAAGCGGGAGAACTAAGTTGAGGGCTTTTATTCATTGTGTTGCTTTTTTTCCTGGTTTAAAAAAAAAAAAAAAGTGTTACTCCACATCTGGTTTTTTTTTGTTGTTTTTTATTTTACAAAAGGTAGAGTATGTGTTTACAGACAAAACCGGTACATTGACTGAAAATGAGATGCAGTTTCGGGAGTGCTCCATTAATGGCATAAAGTACCAGGAGGTCAATGGTAAACTGACTCCAGAGGGGTTTTCTGAAGATTCTCCAGATGGAAATAGGCATACTTTGGTAAGACTCCTATTTTTTTCCTTCACCATTAGGCATCTTAGTGTTTATGTTGGAGACAGAAAATTCTTCTGGTATTAGCATTAAATTAAAAAATCTGGATTTCAGAGTAGTTTGAAGCTATTAAGTGTTACTGAACAAAAAATATTTATTAAATAGTTGAGATCATTTTACATGAAGTATTTGACTTTATAGTATGTACAAAAGTGGGTTGATATGTAAATGTTACAAATCATGGTTCTTTTTTACAGATGAAAGAGGAAGAACTCTTCTTGAAAGCAGTTTGTCTTTGTCATACAGTACAGATCAGTGCAGATCAAACAGATGGTGCTGATGGACCCTGGCATGCCAATGGAATAGCATCCCCATTGGAGTATTATGCTTCTTCACCAGATGAGAAAGCTTTAGTTGAAGCTGCAAGCCGGTGAGGTTTAAGCCAAATTTACATGCTGCAGAAGTTGCCTTTTAGGGCTAGCAATTTGTATCAAGAACGATCTTAAAATATTTCTCTGAGAAATTTTAAAGCCTGAGGCCTGTCGCTACCAATTTATTATGAAAACATTCAAAAACATAGAATCATAGAATCACAAGGTTGGAAACAACCCATAAGATCATCTAGTCCAACCGTCTTCACACTGCCACTGCTACCACAAGGTATTAAACCATATCTCGCAGCTCCTCGTTCAGACGCCTCTTGAACATTGCCAGAGATGGCGACTCCACCACCTCCCTTGGCAGGCCATTCCAGTGCCTGACCACTCTCTGAGAGAAAAAGTTCTTCCTTAAGTCTAACCTAAACCTCTTCTGGTACAACTTGTGGCCATTTCCCCGGGTCCTGTTTGATGCCTGGGAGAAGAGGCCAAACCCCTCTTCACCACAGCCTCCCTTCAGGAAGTTGTAAAGTGCAATGAGGTCTCCCCTGAGCCTCCTCTTCTCCAGACTAAATAATTCCAGCTCCCTCAGCTGCTCCTCATAAGAACATAATGCGTAGAAGCTAGGGATGTTGTGATATAGAATTAGAAATGTTTAGGGAAATGCTTTTGAAATTACAGTGAATGCAATATGTTGTTTTTGAAGAACTGTATGAAGTGGACACAAAGGCATATATTGTTTTGTTTTTTTCCATTTAGCATCCAGTAGGCATTATATGTACAGTTCCACAGCATCAAATAAATACCTATTTTCTTCTACTTTTAGGGTTGGAGTAGTATTTATGGGAACTAGTGGGGACAGTATGGAAGTAAAAAGTCTTGGAAAACCAGAAAGGTATTTTCATTTAAAAAAAAAAAAAAAAAGAAAACTCTGTATTCTTGTAAGAATGGCTTAATGTATTCAAGACAGCTTGCATCATAGTTCTTAAGAGTTCAAATTGAGATGCAGGAACTTTGTGTGAGAGTTACTCTGTGTAATTGTATATTGTAATGGTTTGCATATTTTGACCGTTCTTCAAAATTGAGGCTCTACTAGAGTTACAAATAGATAAAGGAATTGGGACGCTTATTCAGTTTCCATGATTTGTGCTTTCAGCTCTAGAAATTCCCAGAATCAGCTGTGCTGGCAAGTTTCACACACACGTAATCCAGTTATATCTTTAAACATTCCCAAAATTACTGTGTATCTGCAGCATGTCATAACACCTTTCATGTACATAGATATGTACAAAGTAATGAAAAACAACTAATTGCAGAAATGCAGATAATAGTGATTGTTGCTCAACTAAATATTGTGAAGTTTCAATATAAAAATGATACTTTGGGATTAGCTCTGGGAGTAAGTGTGCATTTGCAGTTGTAAGCAATTGCGTTTGGAAATTTATTTCTAAAACTGTGTTCTCTTTTGTTAAAACACAAAATAAAGGTACAAGTTGCTTCATGTTTTGGAGTTTGATCCAAATCGCAGACGAATGAGCGTCATTGTAGAGAGTCCCTCAGGTAAGTGATCAGAAGTTACAATTGAGAACTTCTGAAGTAATAAATATATTCTTAATTTCTATCCTGTTTTCCTTTTTAGGGGAAAAGCTTTTATTCACAAAGGGAGCAGAATCTTCCATTCTTCCTCGTAGTAAAAGTGGAGAAATAGACAAAACAAGGATACATGTTGATGAATTTGCTTTGGTAAGTGTAATCATCCTGCCCAGCTGATTTTTCTGGTTTTTCTGGTACAGACTCTGTGACTTGAAGAAATTGCAAGTCACACCTCGTTAGACCAGAATCTAGTCTAGTCTGAATGTAGTCTTTTATATTCTCTCATAGAAAGGACTAAGAACTTTGTGCGTGGCGTACAGAAGGTTCACACCGGAGGAATACCAAGAAATTGGCAAACGCCTTCATGAGGCCAGGACTGCCTTACAACAACGGGAAGAAAAATTAGCAGATGTATTCAACTTCATAGAAAGGGATCTGGAACTGCTTGGGGCTACTGGAGTAGAAGACAAGTATGTAATTGACTTTCTGCAAGCTATGTTCAGAAACACAGCAAGTTTAGGATCTGTAGCTGTATTATGATGCGTGCCACGAGAAGCTGTCCTGCCATTGCCAGAAGTTCTGTGCTATTTTTGTTTACTGAGTTAAGGAACATTGAAAACATATGTTGTACAAACTGATTTTGGCAATATAACAATGACATAGTAAGCTTTATTAGGAGACATTTAATGCACGTGAAACAAAATCGGAATAGAATCACAGAAGTACAGAAACACCAAGGTTGGAAAAGACCTAAAAGATCATCCAGTCCAACCATCCACCTATCACCAATAGTTCTCACTAAACCATATCCCTCACATAATAATATTAGTAAGTGTTAAACTTGATAACTAATTCCTTGTGAAAACTTAAATATGTAGCTAATATACAGAGCATGCAATATGCAAGCAGAATGTTTGTAAGTTAGAGTGTATATTATCTGTTGGAATGTACAGATGGAGCACTTAAAATCTTTTCATGCGCCACGTTAGTTAGTGTTTGTGACAAACTGTTTGAAAGCTTCTCAAATGCAGTGATAGTGCTTAATTTAAGTTGAGATGTGCTTATTAGGAATTTTTAATTGCCATAATTAGTATTATTGAAATTCAGCTTTAACTTCATGAAATCTTTTGCTCATAACAGAATGTCATTACTAGACTTTAGTTCTTGAAAATACGTACTTGAAATTGGAAATGCAGTCTTAAATCATCATGATGTTACAGTACGTGTTCTTTTTTTCTCTGAAGTGTTTGATTGGTTAGCTAAGATTTTCTTGTTTCTAGACTGCAGGAGAAAGTCCAAGAAACTATAGAAGCACTCAGATTGGCTGGTATCAAAGTGTGGGTTTTGACTGGAGATAAGCATGAAACGGCTGTTAGTGTCAGTTTATCATGTGGACACTTTCATAGAACCATGAACATCCTTGAACTTGTACAGCACAAATCAGACAGTACATGCGCAGAGCAACTGAGGCAGCTAGCCAAGAGGTAAAATGTCCATGATGTCATTAACTGAGTGATGTCCTTGATTTTCTTTCTTTTAAAATTTTATGGTTATCATTTTATGTGCCTAATAAATGTTTTGTGTTTTTTTTTTTAATTTTCTTTCCATTTCCCTCTCTCCCTCCCCTTTAACTTGAAAAAGAAGTCTAACAGGTCAGCTTCTTTATGTATTGTATGCGCACCTGCATAGTTTGTAACAAAATACAAAGTTTTCCTTCACATCAATACAAAATCAACATTTTTGTCCCTAAATAGAATAAAAGAAGACCATGTTATCCAGCATGGCCTGGTGGTGGATGGGACCAGCCTCTCTCTTGCACTCAGGGAACATGAAAAATTGTTCATGGAAGTTTGTAAAAACTGTTCTGCAGTGTTGTGTTGTCGTATGGCACCGCTTCAAAAAGCAAAGGTAAGTATGGTTATAGTCAGCATTGTCTTGTAAGTACTTTTATCTTGCTGTCTTAAGGACGGGCATTTCTGGAGATTGTTTCTGGTTGTCTCGCCTTTTACGTGACTTTTGACTCTTTGCAATTCAGTTGGAATAATTTGCTCAGAAGTTTGTATGCGTATTTGTGAAACTTCAGAATTAGGTGGGGAAGGGAGTCAAAGTACTGCCAGAGTGGGATGGAATAAAAAAGCTAATCTTTAGTCAGCCTCTCTTGTGTTTTATGAGGCAGTAGTTATCTTCGTAGCATGCATAGTTTTGTGTTGCCTATTTCATTGTACCGTTCAAAATAAGAAGGCCAAGTGAGGAAGGAAGGTTGAGACAGTTTGTTCTAGTCTTGTATTTGGTCTTCTACCTTAGACATATTTTGTGAAACTTATTCTAAGATTAAACTTATTCTAAGATAAGATGAAATGCAGATTTGTATTTCCTTAATCTTTAATTTTACTGCTTGTCAACATATGGCCTTTAGTTTCACTACTCTCATTTATACTTTTGTATTTTTTTATGGCTCTGATGCCCTTTGGAACATAAAATCATAAAAGCATAGAATGTCTGGGGTTGTAAGGGACTTCAAATCACCTAGTTCCAACCCTCTGCCATGGGCAGGGTTGCTGACCGCTAGATCAAGTACTAGATCTTGTTTCCTAGGGCCCATACAGCATGGCCTTCAACACCTCCAGGGACAGGGCATCCACAACCTCACTGGGCAGCCTGTTCCAGCACTTCACCACCCTTTCTGTGAGACACTTCCCCTGACATCTAATCTAAATCTCTCTTTTCTGGGAGGAAAGTATAGTATTTTTAATAGATAAGTATGTTTCAAAGATGTTCTAGCATCATCTCATGAGTTTACCAGGTGTTCTGTTGCTTTAATAGAATCTTCGAATTCTGACCTCTTGCAATTGAATACATGGAGTTGCATCTCTTTATGTGTAAGAAATTTTCAACTTGAATGAATGTGGTTTGGTTAAACCCTCTCCATCCTTGCACCAAGATTCTTCCTTCTGCTGGTTAATGTATTGTTTGGGTCCTCTTTCTTACTCCTCTCTTACCTGTTTCTTCTTCAGCATTGAATAATGGGGAGCAGAATTATAACCTTCAATTGGTAGTTCATCTGCTCAGGAAAGTAAAACAAAGATAATTAAACTTTTAAATCTATCAGGTCAGAGTTTCCTTTGTGGCCTTTACTGCTTATGACATTGAAAATTAGAAGAATCTCGCCAGGTCTGATGAAGGGGTTTAAATACTGGATTACTCTTTAAGTTTTCCATTCTAACTTCTAGCTTGATTTGAAAGTTAAAGCAGGGTCCAGAGAGACATGATAGTGGCCTTTTGGTATTTAAAGGGAGACTATAAAAAGGAAGGGGCAGACTCCTTAGCAGGGTCTGTTGTGATAGGACAAGGGGAGATGGTTTTAAAACAAAAAGAGGAGAGATTTAGATTAGGTGTAAGGAAGAGGATTTTTACAGTAAGGGTGGTGGGGCATTGGAACAGGTTGCCCAGATTGGTGATAGAAGCCCCATCCTTGCAGACGTTCAGTGTCATGGTGGACCGTGCTCTGAGCAGCCTGCTATAGCTGCTTAGGTGTCCCTGTTCATTGCAGGAGGGTTGGACTAGGTGACCTTCAAAGGTCCCTTCCAGCTCAATTCTATGAGGAAGCTGGGAAAGAACAGCTAAATGTGGGGGGAGTGCATTATGCATAATAAGCCAAAGGCAGGTGTAATACTTAAGTAAGACTTGTAGCCAAAAGCAAGCAGCTTTTCTAAAGGAGGAATGAATTAGCCAGAGATGTTTCTTACCCATGTGTGTCCATTTGTAAAATGAAGTAATTGCACATACAGGTAGGTAACTATCAAAGGTGTGCAGTGGTTAGCAGCACAGTTTGTAGAAAGACTGTATGGTTCTAAAAGTTACTGCCTTTTTTTTTTCTTCAGGTAGTGAGACTGTTAAAAACATCTCCAGAAAAACCTATAACATTAGCAATTGGTGATGGTGCTAACGATGTGAGCATGATACAAGAAGCACATGTTGGCATAGGTAAATTACTTCTGTTTAAAGAGATAAAGGCAAACAAGGTGAAAATTTTAGTAGAACATTTGGTGGTGAATACTGTTTATGAACAGATAAACTTCTAACACTTCTGCATCTGTGAAGAGTCGAACGTGAACTTGAGTCACCTGTTGTAGCAGAAGTTTGGTGAAATTTGAAATTCCAGGTTGTTTGCTTTTTGAAGTCTTAGGTTTATTCTGAAGTCATTCAGAATATTCAGAGGCCATGTTAAATACTGTCGTAAGAACAGAGATTCTCTTTAACGTGAGTCTCAGAAGTTCTCTGCTTTGGTTACTGGAATGGATGTCTCTTATTACGGTCATTGCCAATTCCTAAGTTCCTGTGTAAACTTTACATTCAGACCATTCTTTGCTCAATGCTTCCGCTGTTTTCACCATGTCTTTATCATTGCATTAATACTATTTGTGTCTGGGTTGTCTTTGAGGTAAAGGCTTTCATTGCATCTCTGGGGAGGTTGTTATTGATTTTTCAGCTGAATTCTCCATTAACATTGCTTCCTATAATCTGCTTTGGGCCTTCTTTAAACTTTTCTGCTGTGTTGTGTAACTCAATATGAAGAAACATGAATAACTGAATTAATACCTATCACAAATTCTGTCTTGGTTTTGTTTGTGTGTTATTTCGATGTCGTCTCATAAATATTTTCTTAACTATAGCTTATGTAAATAGTCTTTTTTCTTCCTTCTCTTTTTATTGGTTCAGCATTAAGCAAGCATTTTCCATCAGATGTGTCATGAATAATGCTTTTGTTTTTATGCTTGTTGAAACCTTTATGTTCTTTTACATTTCAACATTACGATGGCTTTAGATATATGTTAGGTGTTGATTAGGTGTATGTAGACGTATGGTGTTGATGTTTTAAATATGTATATCATTTTGATAATGTTTAACCTGTTTTTTGTTTCACAAATATTACAGGAATCATGGGCAAGGAAGGAAGGCAAGCTGTAAGAAATAGTGACTATGCAATAGCACGATTTAAATTCCTCTCCAAGTTGCTTTTTGTTCATGGGCACTTTTACTATATTAGAATAGCAACCCTTGTACAGTACTTTTTTTATAAGGTAAGTTTTCTGAGTGTGTGCCTGTGAAGTTCATAGAAAAATGTGTATCTGTTTCCCAGCAATAAATTTGTTTCAGATGTAACATTTTTGGGTACAGCTGCAATACCTCTGTTCATACATGTTTTCAGTCACTTATATTTCTTAACCAAATATGAGTTTTTAACTTAATTGCTTAATACTTCCTCTAGAAATAGGTTTTAAGTACTTTGATGAGTTCACCTGGTCTCAGGAACTGATATTGTTTGTCTAGGATTCTTGTGTTGGCCACAAAGGCACGTATTTGTTTTCCAGCCATATTTTTACTAGCTGGCAAGAGTTAGCAATTTCTTTTTTGAGATTATAAGGTCCATATTGGAGGATTAATTGCTTCCCTTGCTTCTTGTTTTTCAGAATGTGTGCTTTATTACACCACAATTTTTATATCAGTTCTTCTGTTTGTTTTCACAACAGGTAAGTATTGGATGCTATTGGATGTTGTATAGCTAGTTAAAGGTGTACAATAATTAAAGAAATGGGAAGGAAAACAGTGAAATAGTCTTTCCCTCTTCGGGAAGAAATATATTTACTGTTTGATTGTTTTTAATATCTGTTTTATTATGGCTAATGCTTGGGAACTCATATGGAACTTATACATTTTTTTTTAAATGTGACTCTCTGTAGGAGCTTTTTGTCCAGTTTGGTTGCTAATATTACTGTCAAAACACAGTAAATGCCTGTTGTTTCTTTTCCTCCAGAAAAATTACATATCAGTAATGAAGTTTGTGTTATTTCTGCCTGTATCTTTCAAGTTTGATTGACCAACGGCTGGGCTTCTGTTTCTGTACTGAAACATAATTATATGGATGATTATATATAACTATTTCTGATGCATATAACTCTTTTATTCACCTGTTTTCTGAAGGAGTAGGGAAGAGTTCTTTGCTTCACTGTAAACATTAATGTTTGGTGCTGTTAATTCTAAAAATCTCCCATATACCATATTGCAACTTCCTTGTAGCCATTCTGCTTACTTTGAGAGTACTTTAAGAAGGTTTTAAAGTTTTAAGTCCTTCTGTATGGTTTTTTCATGCTGTTGACAAATTTAATTTCTGCATGGAAAAGACTGATTACAAGGAGCTTCGCAGATTTGCAGGTCTAATACTCAACAAATATCCAGCTTATTTCTTACTGTTTGAGAACTTGATGTTACTAGATTATTATGTAAATATAGCTTGTTTTCCTACTCAGTAAATCCACGTGAATTAATGATATGTTGTGGCTCTTGACTTTTAGTAAATGTGAGCTTTTTTTCTACAAATCTCAAAATAATCTTTATTTCCATTTTCAGACCCTCTATGACAGTGTATACCTGACTTTGTATAATATTTGTTTCACTTCCTTGCCTGTCCTCATCTACAGTCTTTTTGAGCAGCATGTGCACCCGCATGTATTGCAGAGTAAACCTGTGCTCTATCGGTACGTATATCCTACATGCACTGCAGCAGCAGCACATCATTCCACAGCAGTGGCATCTGCAGAAGTCTGAACTTGCTACTGTGCATTTCTACAGTATTTTTATCTGTAGTTCATGCAATTTCTGCTAACTATCCTCAAGGAAGGATAGTTACATAGCTCATGGCTTTCATTCCAAATGTTAATTAAATCTAGTGTTTTAAGAGAAGCGTATATTTATGTCAGTTACGTTAAGACTGGGAGGGACTTGGGTGCATGATTGGTAGCCTTCTTCTCCGCAGTGGTTAAGGAATCACTGCAAAATGCCTTTTTAAGGCATTTTAAGAGGGGGAGCTATTTCCTGTAGAATTAGGTATCCTCCCAGTGGTAGCATGTTGTACTGCATATTGCTTGTTGGAGAAGTACATTATTTTTGTGAAAAAGATGTCTCTTAATTTACCTCTTTTCCTGAATTTCTTCTAAACAGAACAGGGGGGCAATTATCAGGAGATCTGAATATTTCTTGTAGCAATTCTGTCTCTATGGAGGAGGATTCTAGCGTGTGTTAATTCTGATTTGATTCATAAAACACAATTGCCATTGGTGATCCCTGCATAAGCAAAGGCAGCTCTGAGTTCTTTTTTACCTATGATTTACTTTTTTTGTAACGCTGCATTCATTAAACATATCTTGTTGCAGTTGTACGTTACATTTATTCTAGGCAATAATAGTCATGTAGTATAAATAGCTGATGGATTATATATGGACAGTCTAACATCCAGAACTTACTCATTTTTGCAGAGACATCAGTAAAAATGCTCATCTTGGGTATAAACCATTTCTTTATTGGACCATCTTGGGCTTCTTGCATGCATTTGTTTTCTTTTATGGTTCGTATCTTCTAATGGGAGAAGACACTTCATTGCTGGGAAATGGCCAGGTAAATTGTTGTTAGATTTTTCCATCATTGTATCTTTTGGTGATATTTGGTTTTCTGTTATAAAACTTGTCCTCTTGCAGATTTCAGCCTGTGTTAAATCTCCTGAAAATGCGTTGTTTAAATGGATTTAAAATATATATACATGTATATGGTATAAATTGCTATTAAATTATATTTCTTAGTTGAATAAATAGTTAAAGACAAGAACTGACTTAATGAAACCAAATTCTAAAATTGATCCCTTTTTTTTCTTTAATGATGTGAACGTTAAGAGGAAAAGTCACGTTAAAAAACTAAACAACTAACCAAAAGCAAACAAAACGAAACCCACTACACTTTTAAATGAAACCATCGTAAATCTGCTGCTTCATTTCTCCAGTTCATTAGCCCAGGCCAGAAAAATCAGATTCTGGCTTCTTCAAAATACTGTTAGGAGTAGCAATCCAAAAAGACATTTACTTCCCTCCTTATGCTATTCTTACTACTGAAATGAGTTGTGTGTTCATTCGTATGTAGTTCATCGGTAGAACTGCAAGTCATGGCACTTAGTTTGAAAAGATTATTTTGCTGTCTTTGCTTTGGTCATAGGGCTGAGCCTAGAAAGTTTAGCAGGAAAAATAATTTCCATCTGATGATGATCAGACAATGGTCAGAAACTGAGTGACTAAAATCAGAGGCAGTTAAGGATGAGAGAATCCTGCATGCTGCTGAAGTGCTTTCTTCAAGAAATCATCACACATGTGATAAACTACGGAGTCAGTGCAAGGCAATAAGCCAGCAGTAGCCTCATTTTTTTTCATTCTGAATTCCCAATTTGGAGCCAAGCACAATGGGAGAGATTGTACATAATTTGCTAATGGTGGTCGTTTGTTAAGACTTTCATCAGCACATTTTGCAACAATTTGATCTTTTAGTTCTTTTTTTTCTCCCCCCTTTTCCACGCTGTGCATGTCGTCAGATATTGAAACCTAACAGGCAAATGGTAAGAGTTCAGAAGAGGAGGAGATACAAAATATTGTATCTGTTACTTCACAGGTTTAAAGGATGCAGCATCCGCAGTGTAAAAGTGTTCAAAAATAAAATGGTGGCAAGAATCTGTTTGCAGTTTGCATTCTAACTCTGTGACCTTTTTAGAGTAGTGTCAGCAAAGACACTTTCTTTCACAGGTCATTCAGAAGCAGTAGTCTAATTTTATTTCAACATTATCGTTGCAACAGTTAGTAGCAAGCATGCTGCTAAATGCTTCATATTTACTTTTCACACCGAGGTCTGACTTAACTTTTTCCTATGTATAAAGTTGGCAAAAGCAGTTGTAAGATCTGTGATTAGATTGCTGGGATATATATAGATATGTATTTGTCAGAGCTCTGTAACAAGGACTACAACCGTGCCCATCCTTGTTTCATGACCCTGTGCTGTACTGACCAATCAAATCTGGGATGATTTTGATTGCCTGTCTGCATGTGGTCCCTGTGTCCTTGCTTGCTTAGGTTGCTGCTGGTACTTACCAATACTGAGATTGAGAGTTTGTCCATTTCCAGTATATCAATGAGAAAAGTAACTATGAAAAAGCAGACTGTGGATTCAGCACCAAGACTGCTTGCACAGTAGCTGGACCTGTGTAGAATGGCAGTGTGCATCTGAGCAGCATGTGGGTAGATGGATGACAAACTCCACATCCCCTGCTTGGTGTCAGAGCTGAGATTTTGTTGTTGTAGAACTTGTTCAGAGTTTTGCTGGTTTAATGTACGTGGGCAGCAGAATACAAAAGTGACAGTGTCTTAGAATTGAGGCTGAATTTTGTGTTCATTAGCCTTGAAACAAAGTGTCTTTATGATTTTCTTCGTAAAAAATAGAATGGCACCATTATTTTTGAATTGTACAAATGTGCTTGGGAAAAATGTGGACTTTCAGGTGATGCTGCATGTTGAAAACTGTCTGAAAATGTTTAAATTCAAAGTGTTTTGCACTTACGTTTAAGCGAATACCTTCTACCCGGTGTTTGTTTCTGTTCAGATGCTTACATTAAATCAATCAATTTGGTATCTTTATCCTACCATTTTATGTAACTGTTCTGGTTTTTCTTCATCATTCATGTAGGCTTTGTGGTGATCTGTTTTGAACCAGGAAGGAAGATGATGTGGATTGTTAATTTTGCTCTTATCATAAGCTAATTTTTTGTAGTAGTCTGTGTTGCATCCTTCTTAGTTTTTCATAATTAGTAAAATCACAAGCTTTTTTCCATGGTTTTGTTACATAAGTATAGCTGATTTGAGAAAAATCTAACTTACCATTGATGCTATTAGCTCATCTTTTTTCCTTAACTTTCTACCTTGCTGTTTTCTTAGATGTTTGGAAACTGGACATTTGGTACTTTGGTCTTCACCGTTATGGTTATAACCGTTACGATGAAGGTATGTTGCTGTACTCCCTTCTCTTTATGTGTTAGAGAAATACTTAGTCATAACACTGGTACGGTTCGTAGCACATTCAAATGAGTTCAGACCAGCATTTGTCATTTTCTGTAAGGTGGAGGGGAATAAATAAGTTAATTGAAGTTCTCATTCTTTCAGATGGCGCTAGAAACTCACTTCTGGACATGGATAAACCATTTTGTTACTTGGGGTTCCATTGTGTTTTATTTCATATTCTCCTTATTTTATGGGGGAATTATCTGGTGAGTGATTTTCTTTTTCCCCTCTAAACTATAGTACACGTGATAAGTGAAGTCATGAAAGAACATCAAAGTATTATGTTCTGTTTTGTTGCTCTGACTTTTGTGGTAGGTGTTGAAAAACAAATTTCTAAACCTACAGAGGCCAATTACTTTTGGTGATTCTTTTAGAAATGGCAGCCATGCTGCTTAAGCTACCGTGCCTAGGGATGGGAATTGTCTCTGACAGCCTATGATTATTAAGGCATTTTTATTTGTAAAAAGCATGTAGAATTCCTAAAGGTTCTGTGTAACAGGTGAATGCTTGCAACAAAAATGAGGGTGCTGATGTTTGAATCGGTGAAGTAATATATTTTTATTATACTTGAATTTTGGGGTCTTAGAGGTCACTTTCCTCCAAAGTTCTGTTCCCTCCTTTGCCAGTGTTCTTTTGCAGATCAAGAAATTGCTAGTCTCCTTGGGCAGTGTACAGTTTAACTTGTATCCTAAGAGACCTACTGCTTGTCTGTCTGTACTGTACTTTGGTTTCTGGAAGTTCCTTTTAGTAATATCTACTTCTTTTAACTTCTCAGGCCATTTTTACATACCCAGGATATGTACTTTGTATTTGTTCAACTGTTGTCAAGTGGTTCTGCTTGGTTTGCCATAATACTCATAGTAGTTGCTTGTCTGTTTCTTGATGTTGTGAAGAAAGTGCTGTACAGGCATCTACAACCAACAAGTACTGAAAAAGCTCAGGTAACATTATGCTTTTATATCCAACTTGATCAGTATGTTAAAGAACACATGTTAAAACCTGTCTTGTACATTCGTTACCTTCCTGTGATATTTTAGTATCCCCTTATATTGCTGTCATCTTTAACTTACAGGTGAGTGTTTCCATTTCAGAAGATAAATTTTAATTTAGAATTACTGAAGTAAGGACGCAGTTTTACGGGAATGAGTTACAGCTTAAGTAATCAATACATTAACAACAGTAAACACTTAGGGGTCACTTAGCCTTTTACATGTTGATTTGCAACTGTGTAGGAGGATTAGGAACTTTCTTGCTCAGCTTTAAAGATAACTGAACTTATTTTTGTATACGTGTTAGAAGTTCTCTTCAAATGTAGTTGATATTGAATAGTTTTTAAGATGTTGATGGAAAGATTAATTTTAAATATTACTTTAGTAGAACGTGTTTTAATTAGTATTTCTCATCATATCATACCATGCACAACATGTATTTGATTGCTGATTATGTAATTAGAGATAATTATCAATGTGGCATTTTCATAAATTCATCGATGAGGCCTAAAGAGAGTCTGTGATCACAGAATCTTCTTCTTGCCAACACAGGCCCTAAAAGCTCCCCAGAATCATTCCTGTTAAAGTTAGGCTCTCGTTGAGGTAGAATTCTCATCCATATTTCAGCGTTTCCTTCTTTTTAGTGGCAGTACAGCTAAGAAGTCATCTTAACCCATAGTTGTTCTCATGGTTAATCTCTCTGTTTTTATTTTTCAGCACATTCTTTTTGTATACATTTTCTATAACCTGAAAATTCTTCAATTAATTTTGTTTGTTTGTTTTATTCACACTTCTGTTTGTGATCAAGGTAGCTTGCTCTCTGGTATAGATTGAACTTGAATCTTTTTGAGGGGGGAAAAAAAAATGATTTACTTTCCATCATATATCAGTGCCAAGTATGGAAATGATAAGTATTCATCATTTAGCTGTATTCAGCTTACTAAATTATATATGATAACCTGCTATCTTTGGCATCTTTTTTACTCTTTTCTTCCACGTCATCACTGAAAGGTCAGATAGCATAGGAATCTTACAAAAAATCATCCTGTCCTGTTCTGGAATCTGTTTTTAGGTTTTAGGCTGTTTAATGTGTGCCATATTGATCTTTGTGGCATCCTATTTGCTTTAATATAAGTTACATTGAGCTGTGTATCATGGAGAACTTATCGCTGCGTTACAACAGTGCTGTTAACTTGAGCATCAAACCTTTAAATTACTTTGATGTAAGTGTATGTTGATTTTCTTAAATTACATTGCCCTGCTAATTTGTTTTTAGAAACATCCACCTGAGACATTCTCATGTTGACCCTGTAGCTAGCCAAATATTCCATTAGTCCTTTTTCAGAACTGGAATACTAGTTGCTTTTTCTACTCAGGGAATTTAATAGCTCAAATCTGAGATAAATAACCAGATAAATAACCACTATTTTTATTTTTTTGAGAACTGCTCAGGTAGACCTGGTAAGACTCTTCACTGCATGTTTGATTTAGGAGAACGTGGGTAATTACGTATCTTACCCCTGTGTCATCTCCTTCCCTTCTCCCCCAAACAAACAGGCAGAATTTATAGCAACTTACTGAACACTTGCTGTTTCCTTCCTGTGCATCAGCTGTTTCCATTTGGCAGTGTATCGTTACGGTTATTGAAGTTTCTCATGTCCCTAAAGTCATTCCATTAAAAAAACCAAACTTCCTTGATTTTTTTCCCCCCCTAACCTTATCCATGTACTTATTACTGCATTCTCTAATCTTCCGGGTCTATTCTAAAAAAAAATGCAGGTTCAGTTTGTTTCCACTACAGTTATTTTGACCATGACATAAAGAAATTTAAGTAGACTAAGGCATAAACATTTGATAAATCTAGTTAAATTTAGTTATTGTTCTGTGTCACAGTGATTTTAAGAAAAAAATATGTATCTTTTCATAGGTTTAGTGTGAGTTGACTTCTATAGCAGGATGGGATTCATGAGTTCTGCCTTTCCCAGGGTGCTCAGTTTGATTGTGTGGTTTGTGGGTTTTTGTTCTTTGTTTTGATTTTTACTGGGGATGTGTGGGTGGGTTTTCTTTTACTGTTGGTTTGTTTGTTTGCTTTAAATGTGTTCCTTTTTTTTTTTTTCTTCTTTTAAATAATCTTAAACATAATCCATCATATTATGTTTGACTTTGATCTGTTGCCCTTTGGTCTGTTACCCCATTCTGGGTAGCTTCTGACTACAGTTCTGTTCTTTTCTGACTATAGCAAGTAGGAGGAAGTGGACAGTAAGGACAGTCTGAATCAAAATGTAAATCTTGGGGTAAATGTAAATCACAGCACTATTAAGGAGAGAAGGTAATACTGAATAAGGATTCCAGGTAAAGTATAGTCATGTAAGTTTATAGGCTTAGAATGAAAGCTAAGGTGCACTGAAGTATGATCTTCCCCAAAATATCTGGCTGTGATGATCCCGGGAATTGTCCTAAAGGTACCAGGTGTGTGTTTCTGTATATAACGTGTATTCCACTTAAATAACAATGTCTTGTCCTGTGTCTTTTTCTTAGAAAATTACTACTGCTACTGACTGACATGTATGTTCCATCCCTTCTCTGTCCAATTGTAGATGTACTCCAACAGAGTTGCTTTAAGTGACGAGTTCATCGCACTGCAGCCATTGTCCAGGGCAAGGAGTCAGCTGAGCAAAATTAGGTAGAGTAGGAGGGACAGTTCCTCATCAACTCTTATGCATGCTGAAGGTGAACTAACAGTGCTGAGAGAGATGGAAAGAGGCATGAATGTTAGTGGGTTGAGAGGGCAGTATCTATATAGCGCAGATACATTGAGTTTGGTATATTTTTTGGCTTTGCTCTGTGTTTTTTGAGCCAAATGCTTCTCTTAAGTAGCATGTTGGACGTGCTTTGTTCTTAGGAAAAAACATCCCTAGCATGATGCTTAACTTTCAGAATACAGACCTAGCCCTTCTTGCATCCATTTTTAAATAATTATAGTGTCTAGCATGTTTACAATGCTTTTAATTTCTTCATGATCAAAATTAACAGTGCTTTTTGCATGTCAGAATAATTTCAGCTTCATAAGCCTGCAACAGAAAGGCCCATATATTGCAAGCAGCAGTTTAGTGCAAGTTGTTTGCCCATTTTAATTTGCTTTCACTTGTATTGAAAGCGCAGAAAACGTTCTTGGTTTGGGTGCCTATATACACTTGTGCTGCTAAGGCTTTTTGTGTTCTGTGCCTCTATAAAGTGAGTGTTGTTTGTTTTCTATGTGTTACGGGTACGTATTCTCAGACCTTTGTATGCAAAATGCTAGGAAATTATTTGAGCAAAGATTAAAGCATATGTGTGTTGCAGAAGTCATATAAAAAATGATTCTAAGTCTGAAACATTCTGACACACCAGTAACGTCTGTTTTTTGAGCCTGTTTCTATTACTGACACTTACCTACGTCTCTGTTCTATGCTAAGAAATAATGCAGAGAACTGATTTCTTCTACGTAGCTTTTAGCTGACTGTTGTCTAAAAACATGACAATGGATGCTAGGAGAATCGGGCATGGGTGTTTCAGGGCATTCATTCCCATTTGCTTAAATAAGGAAAAGCTGAAGAAATGACATTTGTGTTGGTAAGAGTATTTTTAACAGTTAAATGAAACAATGAAAGTCCTTTAAAAGGAGGAGAGGGATAAAAAAGGAAAAAGCTTTCTATTTCCTCAGCATACTACGCCTTTGCTGGGAGAAGTGTGAAGTGGTGATTCTGTTCAAATGGTTTATTAACAGGTTTTAGCTGTTATGTCACACTATGAAACACAGCAGGAATTCTGCCATTTAGATTGCTGAACGCCCCAGGGAGGCAGTGTTTTTAAATCTAGCACTTACTAGCTTTAAAGGAGAAGCAAAAACTGCAGTATAAGTACCTCTGCAACATTAGTAAACTCAGTAGTATATTCTGGAGATTTCTCTGCAAAAGCCTTTTTTACAGGTCAGCTTCTTAAGTTCCTGGTTTATCAGTGTAATATAAATAACCTATATTTTAAAACTTTGGATCAAATATATTTCCAGTAAGCTTGTTTTCTTTCTGGGTTATTTAAGTAAATGATGTCTGCATCAAAGGTTTTGCACAAAGGATTCTGTTAAACTTCTTGAAACTAAGTACATTTTAAGAGTAAAGCAGTTAAATGGTGAAGGAAGAGTCAAGCTGTCTAGGGATGCAGCACTGTAGTTACCATTTAACAATACATGAAGTCTTGCTAATTTGAGGGCATCTTCTTTGTATTGCCTTCGGGAAGAGTTGGAAAAATATATATATATTGTTTCATCCATGAGTACATAAATCCAGTTCTCTTGTACATAAGATCTTTTAAAGTGAGTATGTAATATAGGTACCTAAAATACAAGCACAGTCTTATAATGCCAGGTGAAGTTAGAATGTGCAAAAAGAAAAAAAACAAGGACTTGGGTTTCTCTAGTTCTTCTTGAAAGTTCAGAAGCTACTCTGTGAATCCTTGCCTAATGGGAAAAGCAATTAATAGATAAAAACCACTCACTTCAGTATACTAAGTAAAAACTAATTTGGGATGGAGTCCATGGTTTAGTTTCTGTGGCGTCCCAGGCAGCTCATTTCCAATAGCAGCGGAGCAGAGAAAGCAAGGGAAGCTGTAGGAATGGGAAACCAAACAGCTGATTGTCACAGCTCAGTTGTGTGCCCACTCAGTAATTGCAGGCTTTCTAGCTTCAGATTGCACATGGATTGATAAACAGATTCTGGTAGTTGTGTTGCTTGTTTAAAACCTCAGTATAGTGCCAGGTTTTAACTGACTTACGCCTCGTTTTGCATATGTATTTACTGTTCTGGTGATTTACCAACATTACAGTGAAGGTTTACCGATGAAAATTAAAATGTGTGATGCTATCATTAATTTTTATGTGGATAGGAAATTTGGAAAAAAAGTTAGGAGCTTATAAG